GTGGGCATTTATTGATTGCCAAGTGTTTTATTTGATATATGGAGGAATATAAGGCAGACTACTGTATCCAATAATATTAACGAATATAATTTTGGGATTGTAATCTAGTTTGATATTTGATTTCTTCCCAAAATTTAGGTTAAAAGGTTTCGTAAATTGGCTTCATTAGTAGCCGAAGAAGGATTGCCTTGGATTTTCGAGTGTGAAAAAGTCTGGCTCATCTTCATTCGACCCTGCCGAACTTCAGCCTTTCGTGTGACAAGCATAGCCAGCGTGGAATCATTTTTCACTTACTTTCTTTCACCAAGCGTGAAGCCAAGAATGGTGGCCATCTGGTATCCTACTTTATGCTTCTTCCTACATATTTATGGATGAATGAAGTGAAATTTAAATTGTTGTGTAGCTGTTAAAATAATCTGGATTTTATTTCTGCAATTCTTACGCATGTTTTGATGTTTGGCTTAATATATATTTTATCTATGAAATGCTTATAACTCAATTAAGATTTTGCTGTCTTGACTGTACTTCAGGCTAATCATGGTCCTTAGTATCTGGTTAGCCCCGCGTTTTATAACTTTATCTAACAGCTAGAGGTAGTTATTGTTCAAATTCCTACACTCTTTTCTTCATTAAGGATGTCGGGAACTGAACCTTGCGATCTCAATAAGGCATTCCATGATTTGGTTGGTTGACATGCTTGTCCTACATGACTGTTAGTGGATCAAAGTGATGCAGGCAGGGGAGCGGCTGTGGTCACAACTTTTGTCTATGTAAATAATATAGAGAATGCCCAGTTATGACCACATCCGCTTCCCTGCCTGTATCACTTTGACCCACATAAATCTGTGTGGACAAGCGTACGTCAACCAACCAAATCATGGAATGCATCATTAAAATCGCAAAGTAAGGTATAAGAAGTAAGTAGGATCTCAGCTGGCCACCTTTCTTGGTTTAGTGTTTTTGGTGATTTTTTCGTGAAAGTGGTTTCTGGCTCTGACGATGTCCCTCACATGATGGACGAAAGCTCTGTATGGAGTCATCAGGGTCGCAGGACGGTGAGCCGAGGTTTTCTTCGCACAGTTCAACAGACAAAAGTCCAAGGCAACCCTTCTGCGATTCTTCGGTGAGGCCAATCTACGAATCCCTTCGACCCACCTTCTCGAACGAAATGAAAGGTACACCAGTATCTTTGGTCAATTGTCTGCTAAACCGTTATGGTATATCTCTTTATGTCCTGGGCTATTCACCTATCCTATAACCTCGTATCACTCTTTCGATATCACAATTTCTTTCTTGTTTATTTAAACCTATTTGATGCCTATTCGTACTCGCCGCTGGTTTCCACATCCATTTTACTATGTCGGGAGTGTTGATCCAAGGCTGCGCTTTAATCCGCAATTCTTCCCTTTCGGGTCCTACTAGAGGCTCCTTGCACTGTAGGATCCTTCCCTTATCTGTCTGTTTCATGGATTTCACTCTATCCCTGTCATCGTATCTGTGCTACTCAAGGCACTGTTCCACACTCTGCCTCAAGCCTTTGATAACATGTATACACCAGCCTCACGGAGCAAGTTCCTGGAGCTTGGATTCTCAATTGGCATGACAACTTAATTTAGCGCTGTAGATTCCTATATCACTGTGCCGCATGTGCACCGAGTAAATCTTGTGGTCAGGCCTTTACTTCATGGACCACGTCTATGAGCAAACTTATCTACTGATAGCTAACTATAAATGATCACCATCGTTTCTCTCACTCTTCTATCCCTAATTAAGAGTCTATAATTTTTTCTTGCGTGCCGACCTCCAAATGTGATAGTTCTACTTGATTTGAATAGGCTTGATGTAGACGTCTTCACTTGGTTTCAGGTTGTTTCTCTCTGTTCTCCTTGTAGTTTCTTTTCCTAAAATTAAAAATATTAAGTATTAGCCTAGGCGCTCTGCTCGGTGAAGCGGCACTGTACGTGCTTCTAGGGCCTTGAGAAATAGTGCCTGGAGCAAAATGCACACAGGGACTGGAACCGAATGAAATCGGTCATCCAGAAAGGTAAGGAACGGATCTAAGAGACTATGATGGGATCCGGAGTAGAGGCCTGAGTCGGATAAGCCGATCGACGGAGAGGCGCCGGGGTAAATAGCACGTGTGATGAGGCCACACTAGCTTTTCCACAAAATAGCACACATTTTAATGAGTGGAGTGTAAACAAGTGGGAAATTGTGATAGGGCGGAAGTGGGAAGCGTACCTGCAGGGAGATATGGAAATTGGCTTCTTCAGGTGTTTTTGTGCCTTCATGTGTATGAGTGCGATCCATTACTGATAGTCTTAACCAATGAGAATAGATGTATCGTCTCTATAGGTTTTATAAAAGGTGAAATTAACTTTATCTTATTGAAATGCATCAGTGCAATTGCGTATTTAAATAATCGTGTATGACTGTGAGAGCTCAAATCCTAAGGTATCTCGTTAAATCGGGCTGGTAGTTAGTAATAGGAACGAAATAAGAACTAGAACTTGAGCCGCGTCTCTTGTAGGTGGCTCAACTTTTTAAATTTAGAATTTACCTATAAATTACAAACAACGATTGATTATTTACATGATAGAGTTTTTCAAAAAATAATGACTTAGTATGCTAAGATGTATCATCCAAGAATTATTAATAGGGGCTCCACACATTGGCTCTGTGGTTTCACAGCAGCCGTTGCTGTGGGGCAGTCTTACACACGGCCCTGCTTCGAATCTTTCTGGGGTTCCGATGAGATTAAGGCGGGGTCAAACTTCACTTTATCCTGGATGAGAAAATATTTATGGAGAAAAAGCGATTTGAAATTCAATGACACTATGAAGTCCTTTTATCACCTCAAACGACCTAGGGTGACTTGAGTTATTATTCGATTTCTATCATTACTTATCATATATATATATATCTTCTTGCACACAAAATGGCCACTTTCTGGTTCTTTTTGTCTCACTTGTATTCGTTCTTCATAAAAAAAACCTTAGATTATTTCTGATTTCTGATTAAATTCCTTGCCAGGCGATGTTGACTCTGCACTCAGCACCATGGTACAATATCAACTTCTCAGAGAGGATATGGACTCGATTTTCGAAATTTCTACCTGGCCTGGACAGCCTAATTGGATGGCGAATGTCGACTCTAAGGTTCGTGTATGCTTTTTTTTTGTTTGCAGTATGAGCGTATTTTATTAATTGATATATTATGTCTATGCTGACGCCAACTCATTATGATATATCATTCTTGCAAAATTCTTTAGGGAAACATTTTAACTTCATTTATTTTAATCAGCCTATTCTACATATTCAGTTATTTTGGGTTTCTATTCTTTATGTGTATAACGATCTTTAACTTTTATCTCTTGACTAACATATCATATTTATTCTTTTTATATTAAGGTGAAAGCGGCACTTACGAGGGCGATGAATAAATCCACTCACCTGCTACCATATGCTACTGGAACTACTGTTTCAAAACGAAAAAGAGGCACAGGCAGCATAGGCTTTGAGGAGGAGGCCGAACTCGATTCTGAAACTCGATTGCTATTCACAACTGATGGTGTTGATGGAGATATTGATCTTGAACCAGACTCCATGCCGCAGGTCGGAAGTGATTTTTATCTAAACTCTTTATTTGTCGAAGATATCTAGACCAAGATGGTGTGGCCTTTCTTTGTATAGAAGTTGTTTGGCATTGTTTTCGCGCCCTGGTCATATTGGTAGGAGGACCTAGAGGAGCGCACCTAGTCCGGACTCTATAGTATGCATGAAAGCCTCTAGAGTTGGACTGTGGATGTGGTACTTTGCCAGAAATTTCGCTGGCATCGTCAGTGAGTCTTGCCATTCTTAGCAGTACACTACAACTCGTCTGATAGTCAAGTAAAGCTAATTCTTTGACCAATTGTCACTTGAATAATTGCGGTATATTTTCCGTCTGCCCTGGGCTATTCACCAATCCTATATGCTCGTATCATCCCTTTACTATCACAATTTCATATTTAAATGTGACATGGTCTGCCTTTTTTTAGTGGATTTCATGATAACTCTCCAAAGCCCACGCCGGCTTTCTTATCCCATTGTTCCGCAATTCTCATCCCATACGTCCTATCAGACTCCCGCTCTTGTCCCGTTGGATCCGCCTTGTACCTCCCTGGTTCAGGTATTTCACCCGACCCCTGCAACCCTATCTGTACTACTTGAAGCGTTATTTCTCACACTGTCTCAAGCCCTTTATGCCGTGCATACCCCGCCTCGACGAGTAGGCACCTACAAATCAGGATTGTCAAGCTGGATGTGAGACTAACTTGAGGCTAAAGAGCCCGAGTAATTCTCATGATTCATGGACCACTTCTATGATCAAGTCCTTCTACTGTTAACCAACTAGCTTTAGTCTCTGCCACATCCATCCTGTTTCTATCCGTAATACCAAGCCTACTACTTCCTATGCCGTAGTCTTTTGTGTTCCAACTCATAAATGTTGTGGATCTACATTGGACCTAATAAAAACAAGCACAACCACAACATTTGTGGGTTGGCACACAAGAGACTAGGGCATAGCAAATAATTCACTTGGCAAAGTGGCTAGAATCCCGATAGATGCGACGGAGACGAGCTAGTTGGCTAAGAGTAGACATGTTTTATCAGAGACGGGGTCAATGAAGCAAAGTCTGGATCGGGATCTTTAGACTCAAGTTATTCTCCCCTACAGCTTGAGAATCCTGATTTTAAGATGCTAACTCAGT